TATATAAATGTATATTTTTTAAAAATTTTAATTGTACATTTTTTTTAATTTTTTGTAAATATATATTTTTCAGTTTTTTTAAAAAAAATCTTCGGTTGGATCCCAATTCGACATTGGTTCAACATTTTGACCCTTGATCCTTTCTCTTTTTCCTTTTCGATTTTTAAAACATTAATAAAAAGTGATTTGATGAATATAAACACATGCATACATAAGGGATTTGGTACATGTCAGTTTAAAATACAGTCAATTTTTTCATTTAATTTTTTTCTCTCCACATCAACATATGTAATACCATTTTTACGTACAAGTAGCATAATCTATTTATTATGGCAAGTTGAAAGAAGTAAAAGAGCACGAAACCAAGTTTGCCTTTTACAAGGACGAGACGACGACTCCAATACCTTTAAAGATATGGTGATAGTGGCCCTACATACATTTGTGGTATGTTTATCTTGTTGTCTGTGGTCTCAACCAACTTTTTAAACTTCCTTTTCAAATCCACCCCCGCCCCCCACCCCATAGCCACCGACCCACCCACCCACATATTGTTTTTAGTATTAGTTTATTTATATATGTGCCCATATTAGTATATGTTTGGCGAAGTTTCAAATTATTTTTTATTCACACATTTCGTAGGATTTATAAGTACTATCTGTCTATTTTTAACTCATTTCTATTCTTTATTTATATAAGCAAAATCGTTTATAAATATTTTCCAAACATGTTCTTGATAGATGTTTTTTTATAATACAATAGATTTTTTAAAATTATTTGGTGAATTGAAAAGTCAAAGTCATCCCCTACGAAAATAGATTTAACGGATATTTGGTATTTCCAATTTTTAATCATAAAATATTGACTTACAAATGAAGAAGTTTTCCTTATACTAAAATATTTTTATTTTTATTTCCTTTCACTCTCTTTCACTAGATGTTTCCTCATAAAAAATATTTAATTAAAAAAAAATTAAAACTACCAGTTAGCTAAACTTCAAGATTTTTAATCTAAATTATTAAGAAAAGATTTTATTTTCGTAAATGTAAAGACACATTTCTTACTTTGACCCTTCTCCGAAATTGTCTATGTTATTATAATATAATGACAATTAAATATTATTAAACACACATAAAAAACTGTTAAGCTAATCTGTCAAACTGGTAACGTAACTCTTATATCTCTAATAGCAAGAAATTAGATTTTGCTTCTCAATTTGAACGAGTTCTTAAAAATTTGAAGTGTTTTGATTATCTAACGAATATTTGAACGATTTTGGGTGGGAACTAAATGTACAAAATGAAAGGTTGGGCTGAAATTGGCCATTATTAGAGATTAAAATACAAACTTGGTACTCGAACAATACATTAGGGACCAACGGTGTAATTTCTCTTGTAGGATTTCCCCAAAAAAAAAGAAAAAAAAGGTAAATCCAAAAGCGTTTACAGAAAAGGATACCTTCTTTCTTTCAAAAGGTTTTGGCATGGTCAAATGACTTTGCCCCTGTTTTTATCCATAAATGCAACACACGTTGTAAATGCTGGTCTCAGTGTCATGTTTGGCTGACCTAAAAATTCACTTATAAGTAAGTGCACT